TTTGCAAATCAATTCGGTTTTCATGAGAGACTAAACTGAATCTCTCGTTTATGATATTCTACAACTGAATGTGCTGCACACAGGCCGCCTTATGTTTCAGTTGGCACGATATTAGAGATATCGCAGTATATTTTCATAAAGGAAACTACTCACAAGGTTGCTGAAAACTCTTCGACTGTGCTTTGAAAAGTGGCCATTGCGAATACGTAGACTGGTTGTATTTTGGCGTCAGACGACAGAAAAAAAACTTAACAACACACATACTATGAACACTTGGAAAGCCGATACAGAAGAATCAACGCCGTGCTTAATACAAGTGGGGCGGCAAACAACACAGGCGGATGACACAAAACAATTTACGGCGACATATAATGAAACAATCAATTGTAAGGCTGGGACAAGCAATGATAGTGGGCCGTCCGGCCATTCAAAACCCGGGGGGATCGTTCGTCTCCTCGAGGTGCTGAGTGGCCTCACTGGCGTATGGATAACGACAAACACATAACAGCGTAAACGTCAAGGAAGAGGACAGAAGGCATACCGATACAGAAACGCGTGGTCAATTCATCATCCTCGACAACATTTTATCAGTGTTCAACACCGATGCTTCACTGCCGTACAGCCATGATTTATGTGGAAGCCTTATTGTAAAAAAAGAGTAAAGGTAGACGGGGGAGGGACTTAGTGTTAGCTTACCACAATCATTCCGAGGTGCCTATACCTCCAGACATTCACTCAGGCGATCTGGATAAAAACTGACAAGAACGCCACTGACGTCGGTGGGCAGCCATATCTTGTAGTGTCTCCAACCAGACACAGTGGGGAGCACGCGGTCCCCATTCTGGAAAGCGGGTAGCACCGACAGCACCCAAGCGTTTCGTGATCTCCTTCATACTCCCCTGCCAAGTCAAGGATTGGCCACCTCTCTGTTTACGCCACTCTGAATCGTGCATGGAAAACGATGGTTCGGCATACGCAACACATGTCCCAACCAACGCAGCTTCTGGTGCTGGAAGTACCAGACATATTGACCGCACTCAGGTATTTTGCCCCTTTCGCTGTCTTCGTATTCAAACCACTTCGCAAGCCGCGACTAGCATGGCTGCCGATTAGGCAAAGTAACTCCAGTTTCTTCTAAAGGAGAGCTACAGCTGCTCACGTGTCCAAATACATGAAAGCGACAGATCCGTTCCGAATTCTCTGATTAGCGGAACTATTTGAGCTCTAATAAACGCCGTTATATTGTCTTTACATTTCCATGTCAACAAGCGGTCGACTGTGAAGTTTGTTTCTTCTTGCAAATCAAACAGCAATCTCAGTAGCATTCATTCAGCCGAACTACCCTTTCGGTACCCAGCTGTCATGCCAACCCAAAGGGAGTACGAGGGCTCAGATATTTCCAAGTGGACCAAGCCCAGACAGGAGCAGTCGAGATTTAGTTGGGTTAGAACCAAAAGCCTTCCGGTCAGTTGTCTCACACCTTTCGTCACTGATCCAGCTCAAACTCGAATCAGATAATTGTTTCCACTTTGTCGCTTCCACAGCTTTGTGACTAGTGTTCTTAGTGGTTGGATTGCGAATTTAATGGCCGGAAGGTCCGTGGTTCGAACCCGACCTCTACCTCCCGACTTTCCCTGTCTAAACTTGGGCAGCCTGACAGTATCCCAGCCATCGCGATTCCTTCTGGTGGCATGGCAGTTAGGCACCGAAAGGGTGCTCCAGCTGAACCTCACCCACCTGATACACACAGTGAGTTATGAAATTTAGCGGCTACCAACCGGCCTGGTCGGTATTGCTGGTTCGGTACTCTTTTTCAAGTAATAACAGACAAAATGGTTGGATTGCGAATTTAATGGCCGGAAGGTCCGTGGTTCGAACCCGACCTCTACCTCCCGACTTTCCCTGTCTAAACTTGGGCAGCCTGACAGTATCCCAGCCATCGCGATTCCTTCTGGTGGCATGGCAGTTAGGCACTGAAAGGGTGCTTCAGCTGAACCTCACCCACCTAATACACACCGTGAGTTATGAAATTTAGCAGCTACCAACCGGCCGGGTCGGCAGTACTGGTTCTGTACTCTTTTTCAAGTAATAACAGACAAAGGACCACGATGTCCACGAGCGTTCGAATATATACGAGTCTTTTGAGCGAACCGATACCTAACTCCACATGTGAGTAATGACTTGTTTGGTAGTGGCGCTACGGAGCATCAGACTCAACAGGACATGAACATCAATTTGGGAACGGCCGATTTTCAACATCTCTCTAGCAATGAAAAAAACTTTATCGAGATTGAAGGCAGTGCGATTATACCACCAAGACAGCCATGTTGGTGACCTTCCCTGCGAAGGACAGGCAGGGTCACATGATTTTTGTGCCATGCTGCAAGTACATCCAATTCAACTACCTTTTATTTCAATCCTTAGTCACATGATTTTTGTGCCAGGCTGCAAGTACATCCAATTCAACTACCTTTTATTTCAATCCTTTATACTAAATGGAGCAATTGGTGACAGCCCTAAAGCTGTCAGCGACACAAATCAGGAAAGATTATCTTAACTGTTGAAATCAATGAGTTAGGTGGTTATCATCACTCGTTAGGGGCACCCGCAACATACGCGTATGACGAGCTAGCAGTAGCCGACAGTCGGTTTAGTCTGTATGACAGTTATCACTAAAAATTCCCTCTAGCACCGCCGTGGGTTCAACACCCGGACGAGAGAACGGAAAGACTAACAGGTAGGCAGGACCATATTGAATTAACTACTGCCATCGATTGTGAGTAGTCAGTAGTTGCACGAAAGTTAATCCCAACAACTGAGATGAACTACCGCAGCACTTAGGAGGCTGGATCCGCACTGTGGCCGAAAGAAATCACGGGTGGAAGCAAAACGGCCAACTTCGGGCACCAAAAGTCTGCATCTATGTATCCAGAGAGAAAGAAAGGTGAGTGAAAATATAGGCGAATATTTATTCAGATGCCATGCTGACGCACAACAACTGACAGCTGTGAACCGGTCTGTCTGTGGCTGGTTGAAAAATACATAGAGAATATACACAAATGGAAGGAGCCAACAAATAGGAGAAAAACAGCAGGAGCGCGGGCAATGCAAGCGCACTGTGGTCGAAAGAAATCACGGGTGGAAGCAAAACGGCCAACTTCGGGCACCAAAAGTCTGCATCTATGTATCCAGAGAGAAAGAAAGGTGAGTGAAAATATAGGCGAATATTTATTCAGATGCCATGCTGACGCACAACAACTGACAGCTGTGAACCGGTCTGTCTGTGGCTGGTTGAAAAATACATAGAGAATATACACAAATGGAAGGAGCCAACAAATAGGAGAAAAACAGCAGGAGCGCGGGCAATGCAAGTCAGTGGCGGGGAGAGTTCTAGTCATTCGAGTGAGGAGGAATCTGGAAGGGTTGCGAAGTTTCAAACAACTTGGCCACTCTTGATGCGTTCAAGACGGCGACGAATTTCTAATAGCTCGTTTGCTGAGATCGTCGGTCGAGATTCTGGTTGTGAGGATTCAGCCTGAACAGGGGCATCAGCCGGACTGACCATATTCTAGGAGTAAAATAAATGAAAAAGATACGCATGATTTATATATTACAGAGGTGGACTAATGAAGTGATCGGGAGGGCAAATCAGGTAATGTAGCTGAATGGCTTAGCAGATCGCCACCTAACCTTGCAGCAGGAGCAGTAATACGCATGATTATTACAGAGGTGGACTAATGAAGTGATCGGGAGGGCAAATCAGGTAATGTAGCTGAATGGCTTAGCAGATCGCCACCTAACCTTGCAGCAGGAGCAGTAAAGAGGTTCGTTCAAGTCTGATTCTTCCGGGTGTTCGTGATATATGAGACACATTAACCCCCACCCCACACACAAATTTTATTTAACTACACTTAAGATCTTAAGGTGAAAAGAAGAGAAATCATACGGTGGAGGGAGACCTGGTAATGTCTTATCGCAAGCACTCTGAGGTGCCTACACCTCCAAGCGCTCAATCAGACAATCTGGAAAGAAACTAACAGCAGGAACACCACAGACACTACCATTTCTGTCAAAATCTTCAGCCTAGTGCAGGGGGTCAAGAGGACACAATCCTGAAAGGTAGACTGCACCAGCAACACCGAATAATCTCTTCCATACCATAAGAGAATACCACGTACAAAGAAAGCTGCCTCGGTGAACCAGCTATATCAATACGACCAAAACCGGGATGGATCCTGAGGGGCTTGTAGGGTATTACTAGGCGAGGATTGCATTTAAGATGAGCTGTTACCATGGCTCAGGGGTGTGGCTCTCTAGACCAGTGATACACAAACCCGGCGACCCAGCCGTCCTAAACCAAAGGTGCCTTATCAATGAGGATGAAGGAATTATGAAGCCCAATCAAAGGGAGAGGGGACAGAATGGCGGGAAACTTGTAAAGTGGTGAAGTCAATAAATGAACTGAGAAAAACGCAGTTATTTCCCCGAAAAATATAATACCATTCCCCCCTGTGTAACGACAGGCCATACCTTTGACCGTGAACTCACTCTTCGAAACAACAGAATGTAATGAGTAGACACAACTAAGCATAGTGCTGAAGTTCATTGTAAAAAGATGAAAATAGGGTGGAAGCTTAAGCGCCAAACGAAATCAAGGACGTTCAATTGCCAGAGGTCATAGACTGAGGAAGACCGTATTTTCGACCGAGCCACTGAAAGATACTGGATTCACTGTTAGACTGAGTGACAGGGCGAGAGTTAAAATGCTACTCACCAGTGGAAACGTTGCATTCGGCTCTGAGGTCACTTAGTGGACATTGAGGCTTATGCAAAGCCGCACTGCATGTAATGACATCAACTGTTCATCTGGAAAACGCTTTCGGTGCATAGCTGCCATGCCACAACTTATGCAAAGCCGTACTGCATGTAATGACACTAATTGTTCATCTGGAAAACGCTTTCGGCGCACGGCTGCCATGCCACATGGAGAAACCACGAAGTCTGAGGCAATGACAGGTCTGGATGGGAGTAGCCGAGAGGTCTGGATAAGGTTCGAACTACAGACCTTCTGATCGTCGAGTTCGGCCGTTAACTACTGAGCGAACTCACTGACCGGGAGTCTACGGTTCGAACCCAACCTCGGTATTTCAACTGCTCCTGACAGTATGTTAGCCCTCATGCATCTTTCGGATGGCACAGCAGCAAGGCACTGAAAAGGTGTTACGGCTAGACGTTTATTTATATCACTATATATTCATATTACTGGTATCGTATCGTTATCGTTGGCTGCTGCTACAGCTCAGTGTAATGTGTCAATTTCTTCCTTTGAAACAGTGAGATTCCCACCGCTTATATTTCCCAGTAAATATGACAGCTGCGTGATACGGCACACTGCCTTGAGGAATAAAATCTATAATTAAACTGCCTTTCACTGGTGAGCTTTAAAGTAAACGATTCAGAGTTTCCAATCAATCGACTTGACCTTATGGAGGCTTTGTGTCAAAAGCGAAACGCTGTCCAATCAAAAACTACCGATTGTTTACCAAGCCCTTCTGAAACGATCCACCAGATAACCGCTTGATAACGTCAGCCCATCCACTAGACGATTTGATTCACGTAGCTGTACCGAGACTATCGTGAATTCCAGGTCGTGAATTCTAGGCGTTTCAAGCGATTCGTTCAATCCTCTCACGTTGGATGAAAGCCTATTAATTAGTTGGTTATTGATTGCTTTGTTTCTGGCTCCCACAGAGAGGGGCAGCGTGAAAGGAATCATTCTCATGGTGCGAGTATGCGCCGGTGAAAAACTAATTGTAAAAAATACCTTGACGTACAAGGAGAAGAAACACCCGCTAAATCGGCTTAAAAATTTTAACCCGCTGTGTTAACACTAGGTCAACCGATGCGGTGTGGAATTCGGCAGAAGCAAAACAACAAATAGATTGCAAGAAAAGTCACGTGAATCGATCGATTACACAGCTGATTTCAATGCAACAATTTAAACAACTGACGAAGTCCGTATCCAACTGGAAATATCACAGTGACGATTCACCGTGACGAAGTTCACGCAGACAGGAACTTCATAACACATGGGGACCTCGTAAAAGGTGTACTGAAATAACCAGAGATAATCAGGCGCTGGGGAGAGGACAAGCACGCGACACGTAATGGGACTGAAAAAATTGTTATAATGCATTGCGAAACTGGTAGAGCGAGGATCCCTATGAGAGGATGGAAACATTGAATATGAGAGACTAAACATGGTGTACTTTTCCGCATCTTTTGAAGGTCAGATGGACGAAACCACCTATAGATGGTGGGGGTAGCCGTAATGCAGAGGAGAGCACGGTGTGATAAATTCACAAACGTCCTAATCTAAGTGCACACTGTGTCGATGAGTCTGCGTGATAGTAGATCAAGCGCGTGTGTGTCACTTTTCCGACTGAAGGCAGATAGTACGAGATGGAAAAGGGGGCATTAAACTTCGGAGAGAAAATGTCGCTCAGTGTCCATTTTCATGACCTCTCTGATACCACTCCAAGCGACAAGGACCTATCGGGATCTATATCAATCAATTTCGGTCGATCAGAGTCAAATACGCAACAATTACATCGCTCCGCCTCCAATGCATGGCTATCGACCTCCTACCTCCCCAGGTCGCTGGCGAACAAAACTGCGGCAGCTATAGCCACTGTACAACATGTACACGGTTTTTACAATTGAAGCCGATGATAATGGTGAATTAATCCACTTCTTTCGGAGTAATGCATTCTGCCGATCACAGTCCATACAGCTGACAAAAGGTTCCTATCTCGTAGGAACGCCACTCTGTCACCCAAACTAAGTACAGAGCTGCACGGCCGTCTTCTGATGACATGACTTAATTGTGACTGGTCAGCATTCTGATCGTCTCTCGATCCGTAGCTGGTTCGCCGAGCAAATTTCGGTTATTGTGGGCGAACCGGTTGGTACCACGCACGATGTGCGTTTCGAGGAAATCCCTGAAACTTTGCACACTCACAACGCTACAATTTTCCAAGCAATTTGTGGTGACCAGTGCAACAAGACACAATAGAGACTAAGAGTAGAATTTCAGCGCGAAAAAACATAAAGTAAGGAGAAAAAGAATAAGTTAACTTCAGTCGAGGAAAACGACAACGGAAAAGATAAGGAGGGGGGCATTTAGAAAACACCCAATGATGGTTTTCGATAATCGTCCGCAGGGCTTTCGGGGTGGACCAACCAGTTCAGCCAGCCGAATGACAGCGACTACCGATCGGGAACCAACGCAGGAAAAACAGGACCAAAGAAGAAAACCTACCCGCAAGGTGGCCTCCAGGGCAGGGCTCCGTATTGTGTTCTCTACGCCGTCCATTTGTGTGGCTCCCAGTGGCTCACCAGGTTCATCATCCACATTCGTTGTGGAGACACCGCCCAGACCTAGTTCGCGTCGAAGCTGGGCCAAACGATTCATGAACACTTTCGGATCTACGCCAGATGCGTCAGTGATCAGCTCACTTAGCTGTCCGGGAAAGGGGATGGTGAGAAGTGTGACAGATGAAACAGTGGTGATCGACTTACGGTGCACTGGGTAAAGCACAATGATTTTTTTCGGTAACCAGGAGAGAAAATGACTGTGATTTAAGCGATTGGAATGAGATGCATCAAGTGCAACGACCACTAAACATAAGATAATCAGGTATTGAAAACATCAAGAGGTGTCTGAAGCAATGCTCATTCTCCTGCAAAAATCGTGATGAAAGTACAAGCGTAACAAGTGACCATCCCACAAAAGAAGTACTGTTCGATGCCTTCTCGTGGTGCATGCATTCCTAACAGGTTTACAGTGATCTTTTGGCCGGATTCTGCTTAGAAACTGTCCACAGAAGGAGTCTGATGCAATCCACTAATAGCGATTTCATCGCCGTCATATTTGGTTTGGTCGACTTACGGTCATCAGTAGATGAATCACCACACAAGGTACATCCCGACAAGCTGGTGCACGAGGTCTACCCTTAGTCTCTCTGCTTTGTGGACCCCCCAGTGAAAGCTCACCTGCGTTGGCGAATCAACTGGCTCCACTATCCATTCGAGAATGCACAAGGCGAACATACCTCCTCAAAGGGGTAACAGCAATATAAAAAGTACACAAGAATGCGCTGCTATAACGTCATAGACAAAGGGATATCTCGTGAATAAGAATGGACCATCATGAACCTTTCAAGTTCAGTTTGTGCTGCTGATGAGTATAAAGGCTGAAAACCTGTGCGGATTCACCAAGAAGGAAACTTCTGGACATCTTTCTTGGCGGCCATAAAAGACTAACTGAGAAGTTTATAAGAGCAACTGAGCTAGTCAGTCTCTAAACTGCTCGCTAAAGTGAAAAACAGATAAAAGTACATATAGGCTGACAGTGGCAATCACAAACTGTGTGTGTGTCGGGAAGGTCAGATTCTTGAATATTATCCCAAAACCTACTGAGACCCTCAACTCCACTAAACGCTCATCAGACAGGGCGACACAGTTTTGGATCAAGGTCAGACAGTGGCCCCTCAATATACAGCGTGGGACTGTCGTACCTTCCCACTCACCTGTTGTAATAAAGCTGTTGTGTTCCTTGGTGGTTAATTTTTTCCCGGCAGTAGGTACTGGAGTGGGGACAGCTGTCAGATATAAGTGTCTTATTCAGAAGTCAACTTGCTTGTTTCAATTTCACGCCTGATATGAATGGAGCCCTAACTAATGTACTTGGAGCAAAAAACGTCATCAAATACACCACCTGATTGTCGCTTACCGGACCCGGCATGGAAGCACGAAGTCGGTTCCCGTCGCCAGCGGCGAAACCGCCGGAATCTTTGGTCCGACGTGCACGTTCAATTGCGATATTTTTCAAGGCTTGTTTGATATAGGTTTGGAAGAACTGACTGGTTTTTGAGAGAAACACGGACAAGTCCATCTCGGGATACATTTGAGTAAAGTCATACAACTCATTCAAACCCTGGATTGAAACGATCAGCGGCGGGAAGGGCGAGAAAAAAATTGAAAGGAACAATGCGAGTGCAGCGGTTAGAGTGCGAATATGCATGGGTTAGATTTAGAAAAGCATATTTACGAGTCGTCCTAGCTCATGAGATAGTTAGGACACAAGTAGTGCAGATCCTAACGCGGCGCATCAGAAAGGTGCTAATAAATATTACGTGAGGGGATCATGTCTTCACTAACCCGACCTCTCGACTCCCCATGTCTAGGCTTGGGCAACCTGACAGTATCTCAGCCCTCATGCTTCCTCTGGGTGGCATGGCAGCTAGGCATCGAAAGGGTACTGCAGCTGAACGATATGTAGAGGTCTTAACACGCTGACTCGTCCAATGACTGGTAATCAAATTTAGAAGGTGCGAAACTCCACGGGAGGAGACGTTTGGCGTTTTCCATCAGGGACGAGCACATCATTAGATAGGGATAGCCTCAATGAGGTGAACCAATCGATTACCCTGGTAACGTAGAAAGCGGAGTAAAAGCAGAGGGCAATTAGATGAACTGTTATCAGCTCAGTAAAGTGTGGTATCTTTGCACGGTGATCGATTCTACATAAGCTGCTATAAGTATATCGGACAGATATGAGGAAATTGACCTAGGGGTCGCGTTTTGAAACATTCTAACAAGTTAAGATCCCTATTTCATTTCAATCAGGGTCTGTGTTTGGTCTAGCTAAAAGCATTTGTCCTAAGATAAGAGTGTGAGTACAGGAAACTAGCGTTTTTCGGGACGGGCATCTCTCTTTGGAGGAATTGTAGGACCTATCACAGGTGATGGGGGATCGTACTGTAGACTCCCCATGAGGACGGCCCAATTTGAGGACCACATTCGGTTGTGAACTTCAGGTGGCGTCCAAAGCATCCGAACGTCAGATCTAGCCCGCCTGAAGTTTGGTAGCGAACGTCCTCAACAAACAGAGAGCATATTGGCTGAATCTAGCGCGGGCTGCGTAACTCTAAAGAGTCCGGTTAGTCGAAACGACATTCCTAGGGATGATTCCCTAACATCAAGTCAGTCAGTTTGGAAATCCGTGCTCTCACCGACGACATAGAAAGCAGGCTCTGGGGCTATTAATTTTGTCTGCTCGGTCCTTAGACGAAGATCACAGTGGAAAGGTCGGACCCGCAACTATATAGGCCGTCATGGAAAACAAACCAGATGGGTCATTGTGGTGCCTAGCCTGGGATAAGGGCATTCTTCAAAAAAATACACAGAATGCTTACTTGGAAGAATGCTGGTTGCAAAAACATCACTATATTGTGTACCTAAAGCCGCAAAGGAAATGACGCGCGCGAAGCAAAAGTCGAACTCCAAAAACCTGTGCTAGCAAACAAGCCGTACAGACAGCATCAATTGGATGGGGTGCAAGTGGAACAAAGACTGGCACAAACAAGGAGAGGTGAGATTGCGTAAATGCACATGAACTGAAGCATCTTGAAGCATGAGAATATGTATTTATAAGAATTTATCAACAATGGTGTACGCACCTCTTCCGGTTCATTAGAACCAATCTTCTTGAAGATATCCGTCAGTTTTTCCCGAGTGGCCGCCGAAGGCAAAGTGTTCTGTAAGACCGAAAGGAGAATAAAGTTGAAAAACGAGTGTGACCGACCCACAGAGATCCCGGAAGGTTCAATTATACTTACGATCGGAGTGGGATGAGATGGAGAGGGGCTCAGTGCGAATTTACTGGCCGGAAGGTTCGTCGTTCGAACCTGACCTCTGCATCTCGACTTATCCTGCCTAGGCTTGGGCAACTTGGTAGTACCTCAGCCCCCATGCTTCCTTCGGGTAGCATGGCAGCTAGGCACCGAAAGGGTGCTACAGCTAAAACGATGGATGAAGAGACTCAATCCAAACAGCTGTACAATAACCATCTAGTAGGTGGCAACCAAGAGCAAGTGTGTTGCCCGAAAACTACCAGCTTTACGTATCAATACTTCCTGACAAGACCAGTCCCCTTAGTCAACTGAGTTGCCGAATCTAAGTAAAGACTCGCTCCCAAAGCATTTCTTAATCTGTAGCTTAAGCCGTTAAGTCAGTCGGGATTCTGACGAACCGGGCAATCGGAGAAAGAAGTAAACTTGCGAAATGCATTTGCAGCTGGTTCCTAGGAGAGAGTCTCGACTGGGACTACGGAACAGCTAATCCGTATAAACGAGGCAGAAACGTGTAGCTTATGTCACCGGATACTTAAGTAACTACGTCAATCAGTAACAGGAGCCAATAGTGGGACAGAACCAAACTAGACTCCACAAGGGGGTCCTTGTTTGGCGAGGTGTTATCCGGATTGCACTTCCAGGTTATTTGTGTTGAAAAAAAAGAAACGGAAGCAACAGGACACGTCGAAATCGGAACGAGTTGTCAGACAGTCTGGACCCGGGAAGCCCGATGGGTGACCTAGAGGACTTGCAGTGGGACGACCGGTGTTAGAATACAATCCTGAAAGCTTTGTCGACGATTATCGTTTGCCGTTTAGGATGAATTGTAACCGGTTTTTCAATCAATTAAAGATGTTAAACATAGTTGGGAGCTTTCTTAAAGATGACACACCTTGTTCCGTGTATCCGAGTTGACTGACGGCCGATCGGAAGAAGAAACTGTTGCGGAAGGGCCACTGCTTCCAATCGTTTTCAGCGTGCGGTTCAAATAGGCTTCCAGTTCGGAGTCTTCCTGTTGAACAGAAGCAGAGAGCAGTAG